GTTCTCTCGAACCTTCGGGAATTGTCGGGAGATTACTAGATATAGGGTAGTCTAGTATATATAAGAAGGTGAAAACGTGACGGGAAAACAAGGTGTGTGTAGACAGCGAGTAATTGATCTGCAGTCAGATAGTATTATTGAGCACGTTCGTTGTTATAGCGTTTGTTTTAGCGTGATTGTTGAAATTAAGTGTATCGTAAAGTTATATTCGGAAAGAATAAACCAGTTTTATTAAGTAAGGACTTGTGTCACTAAAGTTTCGTTGGAACTAAGTTACGGAAAATTAATTAACAAACGGAGGCGTAACAATATGGAAGAGTCTAGCCAGAACCTGTTTTATAACACACTACAGAAACGCAAGTAAGCAAAACCCAGTCACCAGGCTTGAAATTTTATTCCATTACTGTTTTGATGCAAAAATGCCTCACCCATTTGTTGTTTTACAAACTCATAGGTCTAATAGTTATGTATATGAAAAGTATGATTATGAAACACTTAATGTGAGATCTGTTAAATCATGCATACATCGTTTTAAAATACATCCGGATTTTCAAATTATTTTCTTTAAAGTATATTGCAAAAATAAACCACTGCCATTTCTAAACTTGTTTTAATTAAATATAAGTTTTAGTCAAGACAGGAACTTTATAGGGTTACTTTAAACAAAAATGACTAAAGAACTGGCACTGTGGGGAGCTAAATACTAAAACCACATGAACTGAAAAAAAAAAAGCTGTTAGAATATTTATTTGCGTTAATATTACAAATATGGACAAAATTGTCACTTTCTATAACTTTTAAACGATAGGAAAGTAATAATAACAAGGAAAAGTTATCAGATTAATAGTGTATGTAATGTTTGTATTGAACGGCAGTAGCAGTGCATTACAGTAAACTGTACTTGTTCCCATTGTAACTTATTCACATTAGCTTACAATTTATAGGATATTGGATTGTCTTATCAAAGTATAAATAACAACGGGAATGTAATCATGCGTATGATCCTTTTCAGCAGAACAGGGGTGGTGTCACAAACTACGTTATCGTGCTTCCAGTTCTTTGCATTCTCTTTTAACAGTGGTTGTAGTGGCGTCTTTAGTCTTCAGGATAGCCGGTAAGTACTCGCTATTTGTGTCCTGATGTTTCTTTTATAAGAATTTTGTAAAAATATTCACTGTTTTATATTTGTCACTTGTATGGGATATATTAATTCAACTAAACAGTTAATGAAACAAAACGAAATCCATTTTGGATATTACAAATGCTCAAGAACAATAAAATCTTGAAAGATCTCTAAGCTTGTGGTTCTTTGCGTCAGTTTTGTTGGATATACAGCCTATATCCAATAAATTGTGATTTAAATAATAACAGTTTATTTCATTAGATTTAAAGGCATACTACTTTTTTTCGTTCTTAAGGCAACTTTCTTCATCAGATACATTGTATTGAAACACAAAGTTCTATCAGCTATCTTTTGGTAAGTGTAGAGTTTCTGTAAGTATGGATGTTGCTATTGTTCAGTACAAAGCTACACAGAACTATCTGTGCTTTGCCCATCGCGGGTATCGAAATCCAGTTTGCAACGTTACAAGCCCTCAGTCTCACCACTGAGTTATCTGGGGGTATAAAGATGGATATGATTTATAATGTATAAACACTGAAATGTAAAAGAAATGGTTTCCAACTTGTCTTCTAAGCTAGCACATCTTAGATCTACTTGTTTATACCACTGAGCAAGAAATTTGAATTGCTTTAATGTGAAGAAACTCGAAATCATTTGAAACGAACTTGCCTTTGGGATAAAATTATGTGTGGTGCGAAGGTGATTTTGCCTTCAAAGAATAACACATCTATGTTTCTATTTTCATGGTTTAAAATGTCATTGTTAATCATTACTAAAGTATGTCGTTCAATTACTTTGTGTGTAAACTCTCTGAGTTATGTAGTAATAGTAGTTATTGTATCTTGTGCAAATATTAAGATTTGAGGCGGCATATGGTGATTAAGGTTCTTTAGTCAATATTCACCTGAAAATAATCAAAAGCTCTAACCATGTACCTCATGTAAAACGTACCAATGAAATAAAAACAACAACGTTCAGTAAATTCCACTGCCAAGTAGACTGGTTAATATGTTACATTGAAAGAAATGGAATGTTAAGTTAATTAAACTTTTTACTTTGTTTCAAACAATTACTGTCTTAACATACTATTTGATATTATGTTTTATTTCTTTAGTTATAATTAACTCACATTATATTTACTATTTTTGCTACTTATGTTGATTGAAATGCATTATTTGGAACAAATTAAATTTAAACATACTTTCCACTTTTAGATTTATTTGTTACTTAATAAAGAAAAAAAAACACGTATATTCTCTCTTCTTTCAAAAATAGTTGGACGTTTAATGATACAATAACTTTAATGGGGTCGTGGTATTATTGTCTAGAGAAATATACTCAGATAATTTAACTCCGAAATAATGAGAGGGTCAGAGGATTTAATTGGCAAACAATGTACTGAAGAATAAAAATGCGGATAATCGAAGAGGGTGTTCAAATGCAAAACTTGTGAAAAACAACGACATAGACGCTGAAATTTGCAAATATAAAAAATGCTTTATTATATGTCCTGTTGTGTTTGTACAGATAGTGCACAAATCATACGTTAAGAAATATATGTAGCTGAGAAGCACGCCATGAAGGCACGACTGAACAATGACGAACACCCAGTTCTCCTTACTGGTAGTAGAACTTGGCTGCTATATTCGTATTGAACTGACTGACAACACTCAACTCGCTTTATTGGCACTAGAACTAAGCTGCTGTAGCCCAAGAGTTGGCGGTGGGTGGTGATGACTAGCTGCCTTCCCTCTAGTCTTACACTGCTAAATTATGGACGGCTAGCGCAGATAGCCCTCGTGTAGCTTTGCGCGAAATTCAAAAACAAACAAACTAAGCTGCTACACTGTATTGAACTGACAGACAACTGGAATTAGACGGAGTTTTATATCCTGAAGGTTGAACAAACTATGGGACAGAGAGAAACCTGAGACTAACAGATAACAGAAAAAAAACATCGGAAAGATGTTTTCCTAGTTTACATCGATCGCAGAACAATACAACAACATTATATATTTGTACTACTAGCTGGAATGTTGCCAACAATCCAAGAAAATTAACTGCTAATTAAGTCTGGCCAAACAGACCGAGATAGTCTGAAATTTGTCGTTACAAGCAAAATGTAGCAATTCTAAGAGCCAATGATTGAACAAAAAGGAGACATTATTATAATATGTCAACCACACTACATTTGGTATATCCAGTGCCGACTAGGCCTTTCACCCAATACCGGGGCTCACCAGGCCGGCTGGGAAATAACAAACATAGTAGTGGTCTAATAACATAGCATTATTTATTTTATTTATTATTATTTATATATTTTATTTATTATTATTTGTATGTTTTATTTATTATTATTTATTTACTTTATTCATTATTATTTATATACTTTATTCATTATTATTCATATATTTTATTTATTATTATTATAATTTTATTTGAAACAACTTTACTATTATTCGCAAGAAGTGGCGAACCATTAAGCTTGTCTTTTTGTTTCCGGAGCGGGTCAAACAACCAGATCGTGAACGGGAAAAAACTCTAATGGCTGGAGACGGCTTGAATGGGTAATGAAGAAAAACTTTAATATAACAGCAGATGTACAACGTTTC